TCTGTCCCTCTATATATGGACAGAATAGAATCAGTTTTTGAAGCACTGTTTTAACCAAACTCAACATAAAGCAGGCGAACACATTTAAAGTGAGGATTTTATCTAAGCTAAGCAAAGGAGATTACTCCATTTGGTATTTCAGTTCAGTGCAGAGAACACTGAGCTATCAGCATGTGGCTCAACAAAATATTGCTTTGTAGCTATTAATTTTTTTAAGTGATCATTTACACTCACTGATGTTTAACATAATGTTTGAATAAATACTGTTGTGATTTTGTAGTGGCTTTACCTTAGACTGCTCTTTAAAGAGCTCTCTCTGCCTCATTGGATCATTGAGCTCAGTGTATGCATTACAGATCTCCTTTTTCAGGACAAAGAGTTCAAAACGTTCACTCAGTCCTTTCACTGAACGGTGCCTAGTTAGCAAGAAACAGAAATAATCATCAGGTACACTTTAACAATTCAGTATCCCACTACTTTTTGGAATCAAGGAATTCCAGTGAAGGATTCAACTTATACATACAGTTCAAGGCTTAGGCTTCATTTTAGAAGTTCTTTCCTCTAATTTATAAAAAAGCCATTTAATTATATCACATCTCCATTATTTTCTGATGTAAAACTACCACATTCTTCTTACTAGAATTGTGGGGAAAAAAATCTCACTGCTAAGAATAATAACAGTGATAATTTCACAGAGATTAAAGTACATTTTCCTAGATTAAAATACATTAGGCTAGACTATTGCAAGAGGAAAAAAAACTTTTCCCCTTGGATGATGAAACAGTTTCATTTGCCAGGGTTGTTTCTCCGAGATCCTGGAAATAAATTGTGATTGGGAACATTTAAAATCACATTGCAACTTAGCCTTCACTAGCCTTATGGATCAAGTAAGTGTTAGTAAAATGTAAATTAGATACCTCCATAGCTGATTGATGGGAGCAATCAAAGTATTCTGACATGTGAATGACCTAAACAGCACTCACAAAAAGCTGGGTCCACTATGTCTATTTGTGGTAACTATGACTAAGTATACCTCCATGAAGTAAATATACCTTTGAGGGAATTCATTCTGCTGAAACTCATAATACCAAAAAAGCTCCTTAATAAAAACAGCAGACCACAATATAAAGGTTTATAAGAACAGAAGTCAGACTTTTCATTGAAAACTGTCAATGCACACAAGTACCTTTTCTGAACACTGAAATAAGCTGAATACATGGTTAAGACAAGTAAAGACCCAACACTATTTCAGTTACATACCATTTAGCCAGTGGGCTCATGATCTGGGGGTGGTCACAAATGAATGTGGGGTTGATGCAGGAAACTTCAATAAACTCACCAACCAACTGGGGAGAGAAAGAGGGAGTGACTTGTTTTACTATTTATTTTCATTTCACTTTGTTCACACCAATATTCCATTTTCCCAAATGGTACCAGCAGAGTTGAAATCCAACCAAATAATTGTGGGACTATTCCCATTTTCTTGGGACCAAGTTGATCCTGCACACTTAGCTTTCAAAGATGTTAGTATGCCCTAAACCATTTTGGAGGCACATTAGGTTGAACCTTTTAAGTCCTATGCCTAAGGACCTACCAAATTCACAGTGGAAATGGGCTGCATGGCAACTCCTTTAATCTTGTAGGTTACCCCGTGCATCCCCTGGCCCCGGCTGATTGGCAGAGGGGCCCTGCCACTCGCTCCTGATTGACAGGGAGGAAAAAACCATGGTTTTAAATATGGCACCATTTTTGCCTCCTGGCCTGTCAGCAGCAAGCAGCAGGGCCACAGGGGGTCCTCAATGAATCAGCAATGAGGGGGAGAGGATGGTGCAGAGGGGAACCTGCAAAATTAAAGGAGTTGCTGTGCAGCCCACTTGCGCCGTGAATTCAGTAGGTCACTACCTATCCCCATCTTGGGGGGCTAATTGAAATAAGAAAATGACAAAAAACATAAGAGGAAGAGCTATCAAAATAAGCACTAAGAATACATTAAAGCAGTAGTAAAGTTAGGAGCCTATGAGACTTTGAAGCCCAAGAGGGACAGTCTCAAATAACAAAGGTAATTTGACTGCTTTCAAAAGTGGTAATACAGTCTAAGAGGGTATAAATGGAGAAAAAGTATTGGCTACTTTCAGTGTCTATATGTGCAATTAGTGCAACTGAATATACTCCAGCTCAATTTGAGTCAGAGTAAACTAATTCTGACATCCCCCTCTATACAGGCATTCAAGCACAGTAATTTACTGCACTGCCAGGTACCACTTGTATCTGACAGGACTATCTAGCTACACAGTAAATTAGTCTACTGCACCCTAATTGCCGCGCATGTGGAGAGGGTGACATTTTACTGTGCAGCGAATTAATCTGCTGTGTGGTAATGCATCTCGTGTAGATGCACCCTCTAAGTGAAAGCCAGAAGAGATTCACTAATAAGAAAGCTGAGCAAGTAGGAGTAAAAAATAGAAAAAGAAATGTACAATGTATTCATACAGGTAGGCTGAGATTTTCTGGAAACTTTAAAAATCCCAGCCTGATCCCTATAGTGAGCCATGAGTATACTATATGGAATATGGTATAATAGCTGCAATGCACACATCTGTAGGCAGCCAAGAATACTGTCCAACCTAAGATTCATAGATTTATAGATTGTAAGGTCAGAAAGGACCTCAGAAGATCATTGGGTCCAGCCCTCTGCACCAAGCAGGAAAGATAACTGGGGGTCAGGTGACCCCACCAAAGTGACTGTCTAGTCTCCTCTTGAAGATTTTCATGGCAGGTGATTGCACCACCTCTGGAGGGAGCTTTATTTCAGTCTATATACCCTGACTGTGAAGAAGCTTTTTCTAATATTGAGCCTAAATCAATCTTCCAGGAGTTTGTGGCCATTACTCCTGGTTTTCCCCTCTGGTGCCCTGGTGAACAGATGCTCACCAAGCCCCTGATGTACTCCTCTAGCGTAGTGTTAAGCTGCTACCAGGTCCCCTCTCAGCCTTCTTTTCCTCAGGCTGAAGAGACCCAGATCCCTCAGCGTTTCCTCATATGGCTTGCCTTTTAAGAGTCTTATCATATGGGTTGCCCTTCTTTGGACTCTCTCAAGCTTGTCCCCATCCTTGTTAAAGTGTGGTGACCAGAACTGGATGCACCACTGGTCTTACCGGTGCTGAGTAGAGTGGAAGAATCACCTCCTTGGTCTTACTGGAGATGCATTATTTGATGCATGTCAAAGTATTATTTACCCTACTGACTACAACGTCGGACTACCAGCTCATATTCATGCTGTGGTCTACTATTACCCCCAGGTCCCTTTCATTCATGGTGCTAGTCAGTTTGGTGCCACCAAGCCTATAGGTGTGTTGGGAGTTGCTCATCCTGAGGTGGAGCACTTTACGTTTCTCAATGTTGAAGATAGACAGTAGGCAGACAAGGTTATTTGGGTAAATCTGATATCTTTTATTAGACCAACTCAAATAGTTGGAAAAATTCTTCTTTGCAAGCCTCTAGGTACAAATGCCCTTTGTCAGGCTGGGGAAGCATCTGCAATTGGTGTGCGCTCTACCTGGTGTCACAACCCAAAGGGTGTGATTTTTGTTTTTGTGTGCTTCGGCACTACTAAATTTTTCCCGCTAAATTATAGCTTCTTTGCACGGTGGAGTTTTCTGCTGCAAAAGAGAACCCCGGTGCAAGGGAGAATTTCCCGCCAATTGGAAGCTTTCTTTGCAGGGTGCATTTCTTTGTTGCAGCACAGAAATGCT